AATTTGCTTCGGGTCGCGACCAATTTGGGTCGCGACCAGAGTCACGGAACGAATTAAGTTCATAAACCGAGGTTCCACTGTATTGACAAAGCTCCAAGAACTGTTGAACATGAGGCAATTAAGAAAGTTTCCATGGAGGATCTCGGCAGATCGTACAGCGGAAAATGTTATTCAGATAACGGAATCCCAAAGTGTAAGGGCCTCAAATTTTACCCACATTTTGTAAAAGGCCCAAGCATGGTAGGTATCTGTGGGGTAATGAAACATGCACCATGACAAAACTCTCACCTAATGCACTTGGGGGTGACGTTGTGAGGTCACTGTGATATCCTTATGCACTTTTCGTTATTGCACCACATCAGATACCTCTGGGCCCATGCCCCAATTAAATGCTAAGCAAGGAGTTATATGCTGAACAAGCAGCTCCAGCCAAAAGCTTTGCTTCTTCCTTCCATAGAAATTGGAGCTGTGTGATCCATTGCAAATGCTGCCCCACAGAGAGCCAGTTGTGTTCATCGAAATAGAACACATATCATTTAGCTAAGAAGTATCATCAGTTTCATATAACGATGCCATATCAATCTGAGCTGGGAAAAGACACATCCAGCCCCAGCTGTAGTCAAGCATTCTGGGACAATTAAGTTAATTAAGATCAACTCTAAGTATTGACTACGTGCTTGATATCACGTGAGATTTCTTAAGCAGTCTGGGAGAGTTGGGGGGTTGGTACAATTGGAAATAGGCTTTGATTATGTGTTCCTTTATATTTTGCAAGATCAGATATATAAAAGTATGCCTGTTCAGTTTCATAGCTTAACAAGTAGTGGGAAGTTAATTGTCCCAAGAGTCCCGCGTCCTGCTATCAGAGGACTGGTCTGATGACACAGATAATAAGAAAAAAAGATCAAATCTCAGAGGAGTCCTACTGGGCCAGCCTGATGCCCTCACTGGTTCAGCATTCTGTATCATGGAAGGCCCAGCAGATGCCTTCAAGGAGTTCACAAGGACAACCAGAGGGACAATCCCATTTTGCTCCTTGCTGCCTGGAATTCAAAACACGTTTCCTTTGATTTTAGCAATTACCAGTTGGAATTAATAGCCTAACAATCCCTTTCTTTCCTTCTTTTGATTTTTACACCATCCTCTACCAAAGTTTCTGTGTGGGGGGGTGCAAAAGCTGAAATCTCATCATAAAATTAAGTTAGGAATTGCTATGTCAGACATCAAGCATCTGAAGCTTTAAAAAGCTGGCAAGACACTGAATGTCAGCTGAAAAGGATGTACTTTGAAAGCCTTCTTAAAAGCCAACGTGATGGAATGGAATTATGAAGGCCAGGCTCAGAGAGATAAACATTTTCT